TGGGCTTGGAGAAGGGGAATGAGGAGGAAGGTGCCTCACGGGGCCTGGGACACTGTGGCCCCAAGTCAAGCCAAGCAGCGCGGGTGGGGCTGGCTGGCCGGGGTCAGGAAAAGGCCACTCATTGTGTTTGCACACCTTTGCTGAGGGGCAGGCGACGGTGGTGAGGGCTGTGGGTTAATGAGAGTATTTGTACCGCCCCACCAGGTAGGGGCATCACGTGATATTATTTTGATATCAGGGGCCCCCTGGAGCAAACACCATAGGCTGGGTTATAAATGGAAGAAAAGCCTGAGAAGCCGTGGCCTCGCCCTCGCCATTGAGCACTGCCCTTTCTTCTCTGCTGGGAGTGGGCCCCAGGACGCGCCTCCCCACCACCACGCCTGCCAGCAGCAGCTCAGAGGTGGCACCCCAGCCAGCCTCTGAGATAACGCTGGCCTGTGGCGCCGGCCACCAAAACCAAACACAGGGCTGCTCCGGAGTAAATGGGCATGCCACTTCTCAGGGAGGCCGGGGCCACTGGTGACAGCCCCTGCAGGGTCCACTCCCGGGAAGGGCTGGGCACGCTCATCTGTGGGCCCCCAGCCCACAGGGCGGACACCACACAAGGATCTCGCATTTCTCTGCTGTTTAGTACAATTACAGCCACCTGAGTGGGAAGCAGGACTTCAGCCAGAAAAATTCTCACGGATGCACAGCTCCAAGTGCTGTGAGCAGACCAGAACGAGGGAGGCTGTGAGGACCTCAGGCTTGCAGTTTTGGGGATGCACCTTGCGTTTACCTATGCCCCGTGTACTTGTTCTCTTGGCCTGGGCAATTCCATCCTTGCTATCACACCCAATGCTGGGTTTTGCACTGCAGGCCTCCCACCACACCCACCCCAGAGCCAGCAGCAGCCAGCTGTGAGCAGAGGCCCCAGCAGCCATGCGGACTCAGCTGACCTCACGAGGGGGCCTCAAATACAGTGAGTGCTCAGTAAATTCTGATCCTTGGGTTCCCCTTTACCTGGTGTGGCAGCTTTGGTGGGTGCCCCTGGAGGTAGCCGCACGGCACCTGCCACACAGGCAAGTCTGGTCCAATCAGGGAGCATGATATTAAGATGGATGGTGGGCAGCAGGCAGCTCTGGCCACACAGCTGGCAGCGGAGTTCTTGCCAGCGCTTGCAGCTGTGTGACCTGGCAAGGGCGCCCCACCTGTAAGGCAGGGACATGAGGCAAACCTGGGAGGTATGGAAGACTCAGAAACAAGAGGGTGCATGTCAAGGGAGACACACAGCAGATGGCACCTGTCTGACCGAAGCCTGTACCCACGTGCAGGGGCAGATCTCAGACTGTCCTTTAAAGGGGTTCACAAAGCAGCACTGGGAAAATTGTTACAATTATTTCAGTTAGAGTAGGAGCATTCTCCAGAAACTAATGGGAGCGGATGCCATGTGCCTCAGGCCCCTGTGCAGGGTCCTAAGGTTGGAGTGGAGATTGGGGGGTGCTCCCCAACAAGAGAAGGCTCCCACCTCCCCAGGCCCCGTAACTGGCCCATGTAGCTAACTGCATGTCTGTCTTTGGGTGAGAGAAATATGTGTTTCAAGGGGATACTGTAGCCACTCTAGAATTTTTAAAGTGGTGACCCCCCCCAACCCCTTGAAACCCGAGGCTGACGTGAAGGAACCGCAATGGATCCCAGTTTTTATGAATTCACTGGGTGGTTTGGCAATGACGGGGATAGTAGGCAGTTTGCTCACTCCGCCTCCCTGTCGTTGAGAATTCCCCTGACATGCCCACATCTCGGGGCTCAGTGCAGTTTGGATTATTCAGTTTAGAAACACTAAAATGATTGTGATAAAGTTCATGCAGACCCTGACAAATGTAATTTATCCTTTTGTGCAATCACAAGGGAGAGCACCAACAGGCAGCTCGTGGCCCCGGCGCTTCCCCATCCTTATAGTGACATCTAGTGGGCGCTCTGTGGAAAAACACAGTGACTGCACTGACGGCTTTCTCCACAGTAAACAAAGTGACGCTCCCCACGCAGAAGCCATCTAAATTCGGGTTCGGCCCCAAGGCCCATCTATGGTTAAGTCCCGCAGTGAGAAACATGCCAAGGCCCAATGACCTGGAACCCCGCGGTCAGTGACATGGTGGTTGCTGGTGTGATCCAGGGAACACCGCATAGCTGTGCTTGCACGGGGTCCTGTGACAGGATGCGCGCGGCAGTTGGTGCAGTGCCCTCTGTCTGCTCTGCCCATCTGCACTGGGAGAGATGAGAGCTGCACAGATGACCTCACTGTACAGTCTGTCGCGGCAAACAGCCCGCAGCCGTGATCTGGGCAACGGTGCCGCTAACACACATCTGTGAAAGGCCATTTTGCTGGGTCTGCTTTAAAAGAAGCCGTTGCCTTCCAACAGGGATGAGAAGAGGTACGCACCTGTAAGGTGGATTTTGGTTAAGGAGTGAGACCTGTTTGAAGGTGAAGCTGTATGTTGCTAGCCTATTCCATTTTCTTACCAGGACTGAGGGGGTGGCCGCCTGCCCCACAGGGATGCCAGGCCCACCAAGGGCACACCTCTGTAGCCCAACTAGCAGCTGGTCTGGCTGTGAGGCCAGTAGCTGCTGGGAGGGGAGGAGCCCCAGGCTCTAAGTCTGGCGCCTGGGGCTCTGGACCAGCCTGTGCCCAGCCACCACAGGGCTTTGGGTGTGTGCCTCCGTATGTGTGACTCAGAGGCCACCCATTGGCCAAAGGGCTTGAAGCAGGATCCAGGGGCTTTTGCATACATTTCTCCACCAGTTACTGAGGGTAGAGGGGTTTGGAAGACAGAGCCCCCACCATTCCAGACTGCAGTGGCCCCAGAGGCATCCTGGGGGTGGGCTGGCCTGCTTCCCACATTTTAGAACTGGAGGGGATGGTTTTGGGCGCACGGGTCACTCATGGACAGAAATGACTGAGAGGTGACAGTCATGACAAACTGTTTAACATTTTACTAAATCAATTCACACAAAATTTCAAATTGCAAATATAATTAAGGGCAACAGATTCTGTTCTGCCTTTTAAATCTTTCATTTTCAAATCTGTCGAGACATTAAAAAGTAAACGAAAATTAGGCCTGCTGCAGATTCATGATGTGTTTTTCCTTTGCAGGGAAAAAACAAAAACAAAAAACAAAAAACAAGGACATCAGAGTAAAAAGAATGCCACTGGGTGTACAATAAAGCACCACAAGACACGGAACGGACGGGGATTCCTGGCTTCCGCCGCGGCTACGAGGTGGCGCTCCCCTGCACTCTATCAACCCGAGCTCATCCGAATGGGACTAGAAGGTCGCCTAGGTGAAGCTAAGTCAGACAGAGTCTGGAACACAGCGCTTAACAACAGTAATGCTGACTATCAGTGCTAACGCAAAAACATCTCAGAAGGTCAAAAACAATGAAACTGGAAACCAAAACCTTACTTTCTCTAGATGAACAAAACTGAAAATGAAAGGGTTCCCGCCTCCCACTAGGAGCCAAGGGATTTTTTTTTCCTTTATTTCTCTCCAATCGGAGGCAGGGGCCATGGCACCCCTGGCCTAGTTGGCATCCAGCTTGGCCATTTCCTGCACGTAGATGCCTATGCTCTCGCTGTCGAAAAGCACAAAGTACACCGTCTTGATGGAGGAGGACATTGTGGACACGAAGTAGCTGGAGATGGCCTTCAGGATCAGCTGCGCTGCCGTCTGCTTCGGAAAGCCGTTCCTGCAGGAGGGGAATTGAGTGCTCAGCCACCCTCGGGTCCAGTGTCTGCGGAGCACCAGGCCCACAGGACACGGACAGGCAACTGGACAAGGAGCTGTGTGGCCTTTGGAAATTTTCTGAGTGGCAGGTGGGTGGGCTGGTCTTATGGGGGTGGTGGGGGGGAAGCAGTACAGGCTCCCAGTGGGTGTGGGTGGGTGGATGTATACCTTGGGGATAGCTGGGCTAACCTCTATCTCTACAGCGCCCAGCTCCTACCAAGGTGGTCCACCCCAAAAGCCAGGGCATCAGAGAGCTGTGGGTGCAAAGCAAGAATTTGGGGTCATTAGGACTGGATTCAGGGACATCATCTAGGGTCACAGGCCCAGCACATTGGGATCCCTATGCTGCCATCTAAAGTGACCGCCAGGTGGCAGCTGAGAGAGCAGGGGCCCAGGGCTGAGATGGGGACAGGGAAGGTGGGCACTCATGGCCTTGTATGTGGCTGAGGCTGCTCCAGGGCACCTGGAGGAAAGTAGAAACAATGCAGCAGCTTGCCTGGCTTGCTGGGAAAGACCTGGGTTTGGAACCCATGGCCCCGAGTTTGAGTTCCCTACTGATCCCCCTATTGGTGCAAGATCCTGAGGTGATCCAGTGTGTCTGTTCCACACAGTCCTCAGGCTGCCCAGTTGCTGTCATCATGCTGATGTCCCGAGCATGAGGAGCCTGCTACCATGCTGAGACGTTCTTGATGCAGATGGCACAAGAGGCTTGCAGCACTCCTGGCCTTGCTCAGGCACCTGTGGGTGTGAGCTACCAGATGGAGCTGGGAGAGCCACCACATCCCATCTCCTGCATCGCAGTCAGGCCTAACCCCTCATAGCCACAGAGCCAAACCATTCTTGGGCCAAATTCTGGAACAAATTTGGATTCATATATTCTACCCTGGAGATTTGTTTTTCTGATGCTTCTGTAGCAGAGCTGTCCCACACAGCAGTCCTGGAGTTCTGCTGGGAGAAGAGTCCACAGCTTCAGGAATGCTCTGCCCAAGACAAGGCTATTACATATATGCATGTCTTCCTCTGGTAGTGACCATGCAATTTCCAAATTCCCATGTGAGCCAGGCCCAAGGGTGCTGGAGCAGACATAAAGGCTGTGCAGGGTGTGGACAGGTTATGCTTGTGCTTGGAGGTGACCACTCAGCTGGGAAAGGAGCTGCTCCGGCTGCCCCTGGCTCACAGGCCTCCAAATCCAGGGCATGGACAGTGAGCAGAGGAGCACTCCCACTGGCCAGGCTGGAGCAGCTAAGCCTGACTTTAGGGAACACATCTTTTTCACTGTGTAGGTCCTAGTCATAGCCCAGTTTCTTTACCCTTTCCAGGCCTGTGCTGGGGACAGCAGAATGCCGAAGGCTGTGGACCTAACCTGGATAAATGGGCTGGGCGGAGGTGTGGAGTCGCAATCTCTGTGTGGGGCCCAAGTATGTTCCCCAGCAGCAAGCTCGTACTAGTAAGGTTACCCCCAACCCTAGTCTGCCTGGATCTCACACCTATACAGGGTGTCCTAGCTGACACCAAGTCCTGTGGGGACTGCCCAGGAACAATTTACAACGTGATCTGATGGCCACATTCCACCTCTGGCTGTTAACCAGCCCTAGCTCTCCAGAACACAGCACCTGCAGAACCTGGCTGTGTCTGGCCCAGGTTGGGTATGGTGTGTGGTGGGGTGTGACATAGACAAAAGGTGACCCTGGCTGCCTCCACAGGGTCTCCCTGGAACAAGGATGAGGGGTCCGTGATTTGTGGTGAGATTTTCTCAGACGCAGTCTGCATCACACAGGAATCAACAAGACGGATGCTGGGCTGCACCCATAGTGCCTGAGATGCAAGTCTTTTTCTTTAATATTTTATTTCAGAATATTTCTGCATATACAGAAGCAGCTTGTCCTGGTGTGTGACCCTGAAGTTGGAACTGTTTCTGAGAAAGCCTCTTATGTACAAACCCATCCCCTGTGGCAAAACCAGACCTCAAGCGATGCCGTCTTGTGCCTGGCCACCATGGACGCTGTAAGAGTGGACAGACTGGTAAGGGGTGCTCGCCCAGCCTGGGAAGGCCCCAGCGTGGTGGGGATGGCCAGTTAGGAATGTGTGCAGCATCATGGGAAGAGTGCTTTGCCTACTCAGCCTGCGCACTGTAGATGGGCAGCTGTGGCAACACAATGACATGGCAGGCTGGCTCCAGCTTGGCCTCAGATGCGTACCGGTCTGCAGGGCCTGTGTACTCGGGGCAGAGCAGCTCAGTGGGCAGCAGCTCAGGATGCGTTCCCTCACCCCGTGCCAGTGGGTGACTGCTACTGTCACTGTGGCTACATTATGCTGACAGTGTTGGCCTCTGGGCCCGCAGAAGATGCCCAGTCTGGCCAATCTCTGCAGGGCCATCAGCCATGGCTGTAGGCTTGCGGTCAAAGGGCAATGACTGTAGGGCTCTCTGGCGCAGTGCTGGCTGCCCCCAGGATATAGTTGCCCACATTGGCATAATCACAGCCCCATCTAGGCCTGCTGCCTCTGTGGCAGCTGTGCTGTCCACTTTGCACAGAAGGCCTCACTGAGCTTGAGGGGTCATGCATTTCTGCACTGGCATCAGAGCCAGGGAGGAGAGCAGAGGCACTGGGTATACTGGATGGGCACCTCCCTTCCTGGGACAAGATGGAGCAGTGGACGGCCTCTGTGCCTACCCGCAGTCTAGCTGGTACTTCTGTCCCCCATCAGCTCCTGATCCGTCCCAGTGACTGTGCCTTCAGTTCCCATCCCAAAGGGCTGTGACCTTGAACACTCCCTCCCAGTTCTTGCCTTGAGCAGACTAAACAATGTCTGAGCTGCCCTGCATTCGCTCCTGTTGTGTCTGCAGCATCCTCTCCCGCGAGTGCTGGCTTCCGTTATCTAGATCTGTGTGAGGATACTGACATTTGGTGCTGTCCGGGCTCAGCGCCTACCAGTGGCCAGAGGCCCACATAGGTGTGGCCTGTCACACCCTCTGCCCACACGTGCAGGTTCTGGGTTCACTGAAGCCACAGCCGGGAAAAGGTTCAAGCAGTTCCAGTTCTGCTAAGCCCCTACCCTGTGTGCAGCCTCACCAGGGACCTCACTGTCCAGGGTCCGCCTGGAACGCACATGGCAAGCACAGGTACGAGCGGTGAGAAGTGGCTGGATGGAGTCCAAGAAGGCATCCTAGAGCAGGTGCTGCAAGGAGTTTGCTCCTGAAGGTAAAGAGGGGGAGCAGAGGTGGGCTCGAGGTGGGCTCTGGCTTTCTGGCTGGGCCAGTCCACCGTCTGATTGTCTAGGCTGCTAGAGTGCTGAGCAGGGCTGGGGCAAATGAGTACCAGCATGGGGTGTGGATAACGCTTCTGTCAGGATCCAGTCTGCCGCACACTCTGCTGCTGGCCATTCTTGGGCCTAAGTGCCTGACCTGTCAGAAGCCATGGGAGAACAGAGCCCCAAGAAAGGCACTAGGTACTGAGCTGGGAGCAGCACACAGAGGCATGACACTGTAGCCTCTTGCTTTTCTTCCTGCAGGGTTCATTAAGTTTAGGGCCAAGAAGCAGTTCTATCGTATTCAAAGTCCTCTGACTGTCCTCTGAGGCCAGAGCCAAGGGACTGGGATGGTTGACAGCAGCACATGGACAAGTCGGGGCAGATTGGGTGGTGGGGTGAAAGGTAGAGCAGGGGTTCTCTGTGCCTGATGCTGCGAAGCCTCAGTTCTTCTAGGATGTAAGCCTCAGGGAATTAGCTCAGGCTCTAGGTCTGGGTTTCTTTGCTACATCTGTCCAGAAGCAATGTACTCACTTCTGAGGGCTGCTGTGAGATAATGCACATGAAGCATTTAACCCAGTGCCCGGGGCGCAGTGAAGGCCCATAATGGGGACTTGAGGAACAGAGAAACTTTGCTGTGAAGCTCGTAAATCTCAGCAAAGTTTAATCAAAGCCTTAAACTAGCTGTTCCTCTGCACTGCCCCTATGTCCGAGGAGTGCACAAGGACAGGCCGTCTAGAGGCCAGAGCTGGCCGCATGGCCATACGCGGGGAGAAAGCGAGCCCACGGCCGCGTTACCAATGCATGTGAATTCACAGTGCTTTTACTCCAGCATGGCTTCTATACCAGAGACACTGGATGCCACAAACAAGCTGTTTTATTTCCCCTCCTAAAACCCACTGTGATTTACTGGCTGGCTCTGGGGTAATCCCATTCTTACTCATGAAAGAGAGGGCAGCTGTTTCCAGGGCTGTGCGGGGCAAGGTCTGCCCGACAGATGTGGGCCCAGGGAGCTGTGCACATGTGCTGCCTTTGGCATTCCGCCCTCTTAAAAGCTTTCGATTATTTTTAAAAACTTTTTACTCCATGAAAAATGTAAATAAGTTTGTAATAACAGATGCTCTTTTATGGGAATTACTTTTATGCTTCAATTAAAAGTGTCCCAATAACCATATGAAAGAGCGTGAAATTACTGCTTCCAATAAAGGCCCTACTGCCTCTCCTCGGAAGCACCTTTCATCAGTGCAGATCAAAGTGCATCTGAAACACTAATTAGCAGAGCCTCGGGACCGTCCAAGGCAGGGCAGGCCCTACTGCCTCGCTCGCTGATAAGTCCGTCCAGGGTCAGGAGGCTGCTGCATTTACCGCAGGTCACACCACAGCGCAGTGCCCAAGACTAGATCTGCTACAAGAGGTAAGTGTGGCTACTTCACAGATGCAAGAGCACCTTGTCAAGACCGGCTCTGGGACCTGCTGTGGGCCTGCCTCCAGCCCCACAGGGCTCACTACCTTGGGGAAAAGGATGCTTGTCTTTGCCAGCTATGCTCAGACCCAACTGGAAGGACTTTTAGAAGCTTACTCTCTGCTAGCTTTTGTTTCAGCATGCACTTAAATGGTGTTGATTTTTAAAATGATGTTCTACATACGCTTTTGGCTAAAGGGGCTGGAATGAGGATGTACAGAATATAGTAACTGAAAATGTAGATGCAGTGAAAACCCCCAAGTGATGAGGAGTATGCATCTGGCTGTCCAGGCACCAGCTTTCACTTGGCTTCTGTTTGGGCCTACTGCCCACCTCCACTGGAGATGACAGGATCTACTCCTCAGCTTCCTGGTGAGTTTGGAAGAGGGAGTCTGGAGAGAGAAGCAGCTTCTCTAAGCAGGCTATGGGGTTCTGAGGTCTCTCAGTGGCCCACAGCTTGCAGGGATAGCTGGGCACAGGCCCAACAGGCTTCCAGCTGGACCCTGTTCCAAGGCCCTGTGTCCTTGGCCTCAGCTCCCTGTGAGGAGGAGCCTGGTGATGGTGGGAAGTGAGGTACAACCTCCACGTGGCACTGCCCTCTCAGGCCCACCTCTACCTCCTGAGAGAGTTTTCATTTCCAAAGCCCCTGAGGTCAGATAGAAGGCTCTGATGACTCTTTGCAAGGGGGATACGTTTTCTGGCCAGTGATGGGAATGTCTGGTCCTGCCAAGGCAAACCACAATAGGATTAAAAATGTAATACATCCTCAACAGGCCAGTGTTCAGGCTGACAATTCTGTATGGTCAGCAAAGGCTGCTAGACATCCTGATGGCTGTGGGCAGAATGAAGGTTCACTCCCCTGACCTAGCAGGTGAGAGGACTAGCCCGGATTCTACTCCAGGCCCAACCCCAAGGTAGGAAGCCACACTGCCTGGCAGCTGGGGTTATAGCTGAGCTCCCACCTGCTTCCTCTGCTCTTTGTCCAGTGGATGGAGGGAGGGAGTCCCTGGCCCTACTGCACTGTCTTAGAGCTCCATTGCCCAGACAGAAGGGAATCCTAACCCAGCTCACCCCTCCTGTTCTCTGTGCTCTCCCTGTGGTTACATTTGCTGTCATTCTCTTCAGTTGTCCCCACAGGTGCTGCACATGCACTCTTCCCTCCCTCATGAAGGCAGACAGCTCTCCCACCATGGGTCATGTACACCACTGGGCTACAAAAGGCCACAAAAACCATCTACTGTTGCCGTGGCAGGCACAAGTGGAAACTCAATACATCTGTAGCAGGCTTGTTTAAGTTAAAGTTTGTACAACCTGCAAATAACATTACAAATATGCAAATAGTCCTTGGCAGAAAAAGCATTCCAGGCTGTACACAGAGAAACCTACCATGAGCCACGTGGCCACAAAAGTGTGCTCTTACCTGCCGCTGCCGATGGATGGAAACGCAATGGACTTCAACTTCTTGTCATCGGCCAGGGCCAAGCAGTTCTTCACGGTCTTTTCCAGGAGTTCCTCACATTTGTCCGCACCCCAGACTGGGCTATTACAGTGGATCACAAATTTGGCCGGCAGGCCATGGCCAGCACTGACAGCAGCTAGAGAAGACAAGTGTGCAGAGTTCTAGTCCTCTGCATCACCATGCATCCTCCCAGGCCCTCATCCGAGGAGGAGCACAGCTGCCTGCTGCACTGGGAAGCCAGCAGAGGCTCAAGTCCAGGGCACACTCACCGTGTTTGTGTTCTACCTCGGAACAGCCAGCATGAGGCACCATCATCCATTCACTCAAGGAAGATGCAGGAAGCCCTCTGTCTACCCCCCAGTAGCAGGAAGAGTATTTGTAACTTGACAGAACATGTGAGAATATTTGCAGCCTCCAACACTTGCCTTTTGTTATCTGCTCACCCCTTTCCTCAAGTGCAGGCAGCACCAATCCTCCCAACACACTTCAGAGGCGGCAATCCCAGGCACAAGCAGCTAAGTGCCTGGATTGCACCTCTGCTGCTGCACAGCCTCACTCTGTGACTACTGCCACTGACCTGTGGCAGAGTGAGACAGGTTGTCCAGGATGGGAGGACAGACAGGGCCTGGGACTGACCAGTAGGCTCGGCACACCCAGGCTGCCATCCAGCTGGGTGCTGTTTCCAACCATGTGCAAAGGAACATCTGTCCAAGACATAGGCTTGTTAAGCTCCCATCACTGTGCACGGGGAAAGGGGTGGTTTTTGGGTGCTGCCAACAGTTGTGTGTTCAGAAGCACACAGTCTGAGGCTGAGTCCCATCTCAAATTACTGATGGGATCTAACAGCTCTGAGCTGAGATGCTGGCATATTGAGGAAAGAAACAGGTGAATGGTGGTTGTCTAGGCAGTGGCACAGGGATACGCTGCATTCTAAAACAGCTCTTAAGAACAAAGGTGCCACAGTTAAGTTATAAGTTAGGTTACCTGGTTCAGGTTGTGATCCAGGCCTCTTACTAATGCATATCCTGGGGTGCAATCTCAAGTTCGTAGGTCCCTGTTACCCACGTGGAAGACCTACATGGAGCTACAACTCCTGGCATTAGCTTGTTTTGGCTGTTGTGGGCATTTGAGGAGTGAATCAATTCATGGGAGATCTCATTGTTAAAACACAATTAAGGTTCTGGCATGGTAGCCTAGCAGCTAAAGTTCTCTCTTTAAACACACTGGGATCCCAGATGGGTGCTAGTCCTAATCCTGGAGGTTCCATTTCCCATCCAGCTCCCTGCTTGTGGCTTGGGAAAACAGTGGATGACAGCCCAAAGCCTTGGGACCCTGCACCCATGTGCGAGACCCACAAGAGGTTCCTGGCCTTGGACCGGCGCAGTTCTGGCCATTGCGGTTGCTTGGGGAGTGAACCATTGGATAGAAGATCTTCCTCTCTGTATATCTGACTTTCCAATAAAAATAAATCTTTAAAAAATAAAATTAACATTATGTCAATAAATGAAACTGAAACAAAAGTCTGATGGGTTTGTGTCAGCTGATTGACAGCTCTGGGCCACCTCCTGGCAAGGATCACACTGCAACACTGATGGGAAAGAACCTGCGGGCCAATAGGCAAGGGCTCACAGCTTGCCACTCTTCTTTCTATACCTTGAGACTAGCCAAAGATGAGGCTAGTGGTCACTGGAGAAAGAGGCATGGCTGTGTCACCCCCAAGTATGGGCTTAGGTCCACACCTAATGAACACTGACCTTAAAATAATGGGCACTGATCAAAGAAGTGGAAGGCAGAAGGACATGCTCACTGCATATCCTGCTGAGATCCCAAAAGTCAAACCTCTACCACAAGGCAGCAGCCTGCATCCCCAGATCAGGTTCTCAGTATCATCTCCCCTATGCTACAATAAAAGGGGCACAGGAGCAAGTGGATATAAACTTTTTGAGAAACACAGGTGGCTGATGAAAGGGTATCAACTTGTACCTGCAGCTTTGCCAGCCTCTCCCCATCACTATCTTAAATTCTCAGCTCTAAAATTTAACCAGTGCAGTAGACTGGTTAAAATTTGGAGATACTGCTGTGAGACAAACAGAGGCTATTTTAAGTAAGTTCAAGAAATTTCAAGGGTAGTCTCAAGAACCTTAAGCTCCTCTGACAATGTGTACGTAGGCTAAAATTCTAATTGCAAAGACAGGAGGTTTTCTATCTCGGCGATGCATATGCACTCCAATGTACCTCTGAATTCTCATCTCATGAAACAGTTGCTAACACTGCACATGCCACACCTGTACATGCATGGTGGCTTCCCCAGCTCACCTCCAGCTACTTCCAAGGGCCCATTCTTTTTCCGGAGCTCCAGAACAGCTTCCACAAACTCCTTGCCACCTTTCTTCTCCAGCGTGTTTCCTAGACAAGGACAGAGCAGGGTCAGGTAGCCATCTTGCCTCTCCGGCACACAGAGACATTCAGCATATCAGGTGATTACATACTGCAGATGATCTGATCAGCTATACCTCCACAAGGCTGCAGAATGGGAACTACTCTTTGGCTAGGGCAGAAACATGAGTTTCTGGGGCAATTCATCCCATTCTGGCACCGCAGCTCCACTCCTTAAGAGGATCCAACTTGGTATTGTTGGGTGTATCGGCCAAGTACCAGACAGGAGAGGCCTGCTCTGGGTGAACGTGCCCATCCTCCTGCAGGTTTCTCATTGGCTTGAGAAAGCAGCTGATGCCGCCTTGCAAGGATAAGGCCTGCCCCGAGTTTCCTTCTCCATCTCTGGGGAGCAGCCCCAAATAAGGAGGTTTTAGAAACAGCAGATTGTGCTCTGTCCAGCAGCCAGCTCTGCTCTTGGCAGCAGGCCCACAGGAAAGCATTCCTGCTGGCCACCTCTATGCCAGCACTGTTAGCATGCATAACTCCCATTTTGCAGCCCTGTTGTCATAAGAATATAAAGGAACCGGGGAGGAGTCACAGTGTTTTCTTCATTACACTCTGATTCAGAATCATTTTAGATAAAGGAGGGCAACATCAGAAGCAGAGCTTAAGGATGAACTGCAGTTCTGACAGCTGAGAAAGAGGGAACTGCTACGGGCTGTGCTTCCACACAAACCAGGGGCGGTTAGTCCTGCTGCGGAAGCCAAGTTACCTATGAGAGGACAGAGCCTGCAAGAGCCATGGTTCAGCTGCCTCACAAGGAACAGGCCAGTAGCCACACCAATGACAATCTCATCTTTTACTTTGGCCAGAATGGGGTCTGATTCTTCCTTAAGCTCTGATTCCTCCGTTTTGCACATTTTTAAGTACTTTTCCTCACAAAAGGACAGAATACTTCCCCTTAAGATTCACCATTTTCTTCAAAAATCCAAAGTGCACCTGTACAATTCTGGATCAAGTCAAAATGTGTCAGGATAGACTAGCCCAAATTCTTGAGATTAACCCTATAATGACTAGATCTAATGATCTCAGAGAAACTTGCCCTGTGTGCATACTGCCCACACAGGAGTGAAAAACCTCAGAAAGTAGAGGGGGAAGCAACCAGCCTGGTATAAGTACTAATAACACCAAAGCCAGGCCAAAGGCAGGGACCCAAGCTGTAGCTGCACTGCTGCATGAGTCAATGGGACCCATAGCCCGTGGCCCACAAGGAGCACTCCGCTGCCTGAGAAGAGGCTGGGCTCCTAGTCAGACACACATCAACTCTGGGTCCTGGGTCACTTCTGATCTGCTCAGACTTCCTTCATGCCTTCATTCATCCTGAAAAGCTGCAGCAGCTTTGACTGGCAAGTGTCAGGATGTCACTTACAGAGCTACAGTGTGTTTCTAAAGCAGTTACACATCAGAGATGGTGGCTGAATGGGCCGTGTGCCTGAGGGAGCAGGCTTGGGACCCCAATCCACCAACCAGGAAGTGGATCCGCCTGTGTGAGACCCTGATGCAGGTTCTCCTGAAGGATCTATGCAGCTGAGAAAAAGTCTGATCCAGTCAGTTGGATCCCATATGGCTTCCGCTACCACCAAGCCTAGCCATCCCTCTGTACCCATTCTCAGTTTGGGAAGGAACCACATACACTGAGGTAAAGCTACTAAGGTTCTCATCCCCGGTTTTATCTACTCCTTGGTTAAGCTACTGGGAAAATCTGAAAGGTAAAATCAGGAGTATATTAAGACCACCAACTCCTTCCAGAATACATGCACGAAAACTGGCTGATTGGTAAGTAAAGGTGGTTTTTCTCTAGGAAGATTGTTTACTTTAAAATTTTTTACTTATAATTAAGCATTGCTTTAATTAGAAGTGAAATTTGCAAGTTAAAATACACTCAATGCATTTCCCAAACTTAAAAATCACATCCTACTTTGCAGGCAACCAACCCAATCAGGACTGACTCCTACACACACACATGTATGCACATGTCCATGTAGACATACGTGTACTTTTTAACAAGAAACAGGCCCATTTTCAACCACATTGTCAACACTCTTAATGTCAGACTCTTGCCTCTGAGGCTTAACTTCAGGGTTAATCATAAAGCAATTGGCTTGTTTGCCCCCAAGCATAAACATGTGTTACTCCCATGAGAACAAGATCATTATTTCATGCTTAGAAAGCAGGCATAAGTATCAGTGTTTGAAACAGCCTAAGCGGAAATCTAGGCTTGGACAAACGTCAGGCTAAGCCTGTGGTCTATTTCACTGTTAGAAAGAACTTTCGATGGGTAAAAGTTAATCACTGGGGCTAAGCATTCCTGCACTCGGATTCCTTCTTCCAGCAGTCTTGGGACTCAGGAATTCATACAGAATGATTAGAAAGGGAGGGACTGCGTCCTCACTTCCTTTTTTCCCTTTTCACACACCAGCATGGGAGCTGGAACCAATTGAGGCCAAGTATGAATCTGGCTTATTGTTTTGGGATTCTGAGGGAAGACAGGGGTCAGGACCAGCCTGGACTGGTTCATT